GATCTCTGTCTGACACGATAGTAACAGGCACTCCGTGGAGTCGAATGATCCCACGGGTATAAATCTCAGCCAACTTATCCAAAGACATCTTCATCGAAACGGGTAAGAAATGAGCGACTTTAATCAATCCTTCGACCACGACCTAGATTGCATCGTGATGTTCAGACAACCTCGGTAACCCCATGACGAAGTCCATCGTGACTTCCTCCCACTTCCACTTCGGAATCGGTAGTGGTTGCAGGAGGCCTATCGGACTCTTATGTTCGGCTTTGACTTGCTGACAGGTAAAACATTTCCTCACAAAGTCGGCAACGTCCTTCTTCATCCCTCGCCACCAGAACGACCCTTTCAGGTCATGATACATCTTCGTGCTTCCGGGATGGGCTAGATAGGGTGCGGTATGAGCCTCCGTCAATATCTCCTTCCGCAATGTCTCGACTTTTGGCACCACAATCCTGCAGTGGAACTCCAAGGCCCCATCGGTACCTCGCTGAAAACCCTCGACGCCTCCGGCGCGGACTTTGGCATCCATGACACGAACGAATTCATTAGAAGCCTGCTCTCGCTGGCGTCGGCTGAATCTGCATGGAACTAACACTCCCTGTGATGGCTGTGGGAAGTGCATCGACTATCTGAATCTGCATCCGGGCGAACTCCTGAATCAAACGGCTCTGCTGAGTAACGACGTACGTCAAGTCACCCCTCACCTTACGGCTTAGGGCGTCAGCAACGACGTTTGCCTTCCCCGAATGGTACTGAATCTTGCAATCATAATCTTTGACGAGCTCTAGCCAATGGCGCTGTCTCATGTTGATCTCCTTCTGAGTGAAAATGTATTGCAAGCTCTTATGATCTGTGAAAATCTCGCATCGATCGCCGTAAAGATAATGTCGCCAAATCTTGAGAGCATGAACAACTGCGGCTAGCTCCAAGTCGTGCGTCGGATAGTTCTGTTTGTGTGGCATGAGCAGAAGTGAAGCATAAGCAACAACCTGGCCATCCTGCATGAGTACACATCCCAAACCCTGTCTCGAAGCATCACTGAAAATAGTGAAACTCCGAGAAGGATCGGGAATAGTCAACACCAGGGCTGAAGTTAGCTTCTTCTTGAGCTCCTGAAAGCTCGACTCACATCGGTCAGTCCACTCGAACTTTACAGACTTCCTCGTCAGCTGGGACAAAGGGAGGGCAATCTTGGAAAAGCCCTCGATGAACCTGCAGTAATAGCCAACTAGACCAAGAAAACTGCGAACCTCGGACGGACTCTTCGGTGTCGACCAGTTCTGACCAGCTGAAACCTTGGAAGGATCCACCTCGATACCTGCCTGAGTAATGACATGGCTAAGCAAGGCTACTTGATGGAGCCAGAATTCGCATTTGGAGAATTTTGCATATAACTTTT